TTAATTCTTCTGATACTGGGATTTTCCCCTCAGGGGCAGTCACCATATTTTCCCAAGACCAAAGTGCTCACTGCCTTCTATCACACTCCACTGCCTTCTTTTTCTCTAACCCCATCTCTAGCCTCCCATCCTCCCCCCTCCTAACAGTCTGGTCTACAGTCTGCTTTCAAGGGTGACTCTTACAATTTGTTTTTGTCTGAGACTTTGTTCAGTTTCACTTACAAGTGAAAGTGGTATGTATCATTCCCCTTATGGCTAACTTCACTTAGAATAAACCATTCCAGCTACATCCATGTTGCTGCAAGTGGCACTTTTTATACTGTGATCACTGAGTAGTATTCTGTTCTCTATATACATCTTATCTACTCATCTCTTCTGAGGTAGTTTGTTTCTATTTCTTGGTTATTGTAAATAGTGCTACTATATACATAATACTACAGGTTTCCTTTTGAATTAGTGTTTTTCTGTATTTGGGTCTATTTTTACTCTTATGAGGACTCTCCAGGCTCTTTTCATAGGGTTGGAAATATTTATATCACCAAAAGCTAAGAATGGCATGATATTGAGTATCACAAAATATTTTAAAATAATCTAATGTTATTACCAACAAAGAGGCAGATTTAAAAGAGTTAAGTATAGGGCCCTTCCGGATGGTACAATGGGTTAGGGCACCACTTGGCCCCGCCCGGAGGTGACCCACATGGGCAGCAGACCTCTCCTGCCACTGCTCCCCTCAGCAGTCCACTTCATAGATCTCCCCGTTCTGCTCCCCACTCTGTCGCTGGTGAATCCTCTCACTGCCCCTGCACCTCTGGCCTGTACCCCAATTCTCTATGCATAAATAAATCTTTAAAAAAAAGAGTAAAATAGAAACAAAAATAAAAGCAATACTACTACTCTCTAGCCTCTTTTGTTTTCCAGATAACTGCAGTATTGCATAAGTGATTGTTTAACATATTCATCATCCTTCTATGCTGACCACTGGTAGGTGACTAGTCCTCACACATTAATTTTCCTTCTGAATCTTTTTCTACTTTATATGTCAGATCATTTTCCAGGGAAATACCAAAAGTAAGTAAATTAAAATGTATGCAGATTTTCATGTTTGTTGTAAGCATGATTCTGAAAATAAGACAAAATGTGGTATGGAAAGGAAATTTACACAGCATCTAGAACTCAAGGTAGGAAATTCACAAGGGGAATGTCCTCATTTTGCAGATATGGAAAGATATTCTGTTTACTTTAATAAGTTTCCCCAGACTCAAGAGACACACTCTCTCTCAGGATTTTTGTATCTAAAGGGCTATAGTTCATAAAAAGCAAGAAGAATCAGGAGAGGAAACTCTTTCTGAAGATGAAGAGTGTATTTTGCAACTCCAATATGAACTATTACTTGAAATATTATTCTACTTTTATTAATCAATGGGAGTGTAAACTGAAAGCATTTTGTAACTGTGAATCTGAACACAAAACTCAGGTAAGAGGGTAAAATAAGAGAAAGCCTGAGAATAACCAATATTTTCTCTCTTCTTGTTACTATTAAAGCTCAATGCATCGATTTAGAATTATTTCTTATCTTACAATGGACTCCTCATCCTGCTGTGGATTGTGAAAATTCTTTACTTCCTACACACGCGTTGCCTTGTTTCATCCTCAATTCAATATTGTTGGATGTCTAGACATTCTTTAAAGGAAATGTGTAATATGTAAATATTGAAATTCTAGCTAAATGAGTCATTTACTACAAATTAATGTGATTGCTAATCCCCCTCAAATGTTAAGAGAAGTTTCTTTTTCTAAGATGAAGTTCTAGTACAATTTTGTGGAGTCAGTCACAGAATACAATAGTGGGTATGATAGTGGACATATCGTTTGTACTGTTAATGAGTGCTGATTTTTCTTTCAGGGAGGCTAATTATTTATATGAAAAATGTACTTTATTGTCAAAAAAATACTCTGAAGTGTTTAATGTCAGCCCTTACTGGAGGGGTAGTACAAGTAATATAAATTCTCAAAATTTCCTCCAGCTATACAGCTTAGCATCTCATGGGACCCCATAAGTGTGCCCTCATTAATTTACTGCTATTTATGTCATTAAAGCCATTTTTTTCTTCCCTCAAAATTTACAAAGTCTTAAATAAATCCCCTTTTATTGGCATATCCCAATTCCTGTAACTTTCTTTGGATTTCCTTAAAGTTATTATTGTTTAATCAGTGTCTCCCACTCTTGTAACTTTCCCACAAATCTTTCTTCTTCCTTCACATATGGAAGAGCTATTAGTTTTTAAAATAATGTCTGATTTTGTTGGTTTACCTGAAGTAAATAATATCAGATACCTAGCATATAACAAAATGAAAGCAACTCAAAAGTTACTAGATTTTTCAGTAAGCAACAACTTATGTCAAATATTAAAACTTATTGTAATAAACTAATAATAAACTAATAAACTAAATGTTAAAACTAAATGTTTAAACTAATAATAATAATAATAAACTAATAAACTAAACTAATTTATGTTTTTCAAGAGTTTTAATATTATCTGAAGAAAACAGTATTACTCCAATTCTGCAAATAAGCTATCAGTGCATGCTTTTAATACAAAACAGATATTTTTGTGGAAATAAAGGGTAAGAAATAACATGTTTTTTAAATAAAAGTAGCTTAAAATTATTGATCACTCTGGAGAAAAATGACATAGAGCTGGTAGACTTCTGGGATTCTGAAGGGCAATATGACCTCAGGATTACATTAATGAAATCAGAAATGAAAAATGCAAAATCCATTCAAGTAGAACATTCTCTGTTATAAGAATAAAATTTCAGGAAAAAATGAATGCTAGATTAAAGAAAAATAGGCCATAGAAGAAAAGAAGATTTCAATGAGACTGAAGGCATAAGTATTTCAAGGGAGTGTCAATAGTAGTCAAAATAAGGAGAAATGCTAAACTCATCTAATGATAGCTGAGAGTTAAATTTGGATATCTAGAAAATTGAAAAATACAGAAACTAAAAGCAAATACATTTGTCATAAAAGAAGTACTTTTTGAAAATAAGAAATACTTATTTTTAATAAAATGCTTATTGATTTTCTTCCCAATGCTTTTTTCTTTTTTGCATGAAAGAACTGGAGTAAAGCCCAGAGGCACAGAAGATGAGAGGATTCACTAAAAACAAAGCAGGCATTTTTTTTACTGAAATACACTGCTAAGGGGAGCAGTCTCTTACTGATCCTTCCCTGACATCTCTTGAAACCTAATGGTGTCATACTGTGATAGAGAAGACCACATCTATCAGATATTAGCCAGAGGTATATATGAAATTTTATCATCCTATAGCTGATGATGGGTTGTCTTCCTATAGTGTGAGCATTTATATTATCTCAGTAAGATAAGGTGTTTGACATGTGGTCAAGTTATATATTTATTAAATCACATTTTCTTTCTCAACATATAATCTGTTCGTAAGAATGCTTCAGGAGCACTTGAAAGACGTTTTTGGTTATTTGAAAAACAAAAGCCAGAAAAGGTAAAACAAGAAGTACTGTTGTGGCGCTCCATGGTGGCAAAGCAGGTTGGAGGCAGCACTGCAAAGCAGCCCCTTCAGTGGGAGTTCAATTTTCAGCTAGGGAGGTGACCCACATGGCACAACAGACCTGTCCTGTCTCACCCGCTGCTCCCCTCGGCAGTGTACTTCATCAGTCTGCCTGTTTTGCTCCCCACTCTGTCTCTGGTGAATCTTCTCACCACAACTGCACCCCCAGTTTTATATGCATAAATAAAAACTAAAACAAAAATCTTCGAAAAAAGGTACGTTGTGCAAATGTAACTATTAATATTTATATACCCAACACAAGTCCATACTAAAAGAGAAAATAATTGCCTTCAATGAAATACTGAATCATAAGGATTTAGACATATACAGAACTTTTATTCTCCAAACAACTAAACAGATTCTTTCAAGTGCTCGTGAAATATTCTTATAAACAGATCATATGCTGGGGAAGAAAATATGTTTTGACAAGTATATCAATTGACCTCATGTCAAGCATCTTATCTAAATTTTAAAAAAAACTTAAATGTTCATGCTATGAGAAGATATCCCACGCTAATATCTGATTGATGATTTCCAGAGATGTGATTCAGGGAGGAAGGCATATGTAAGAGGCAGCTTAGTCCCACTTCCATTATAAAATGAAGGTAAATTATTACTGCCATTTTCCTTTTTAATAACATTTTCATTCACCATTCATTGAAAACTATTTAACTTGGGGAGTACACTTGACACTTCAAGATATGCATATTTTTCACTCACCCACTGTCAAGGTCCTGGAGCCATTACACTATCACCTCTACTTTACTATTTTGATGAGCTTATCTTGTCTATTTTCTTAGGTGAAAACACTACAGATGGTTTGTACTACATAAATTAATAGCAGTGCGTGGGGTACTTAAAATTTTGACCTATTATGGATGTACATATTTGGAGGAGTGAAAAGGTTCCCCCATATAAATGACTAATTAATAAAAAATTAAATATAATTAATAATTATATAATTGATTATGTATTATATAATTAATAATTTTAAAATAAAAGTATAATTAATAATAAAAATTTTGTGTTAAGATAATAAAATACTATTTATTATCAAAAAATTGACTTGTAAAGCTGATTTAAGAAGATGAAAAGAAATTTGTGTTAGAATGTAGGTATTCATAGTCAAAGAAATGGTAGATTCTAGCTTAGCAACATTCTATTAATCCCCAGGGAAAGGAAATTTTGACAATAATCTAATAAGGAAAAAAGTGATTGAGTCCTGGCCATATGAATTTGGCTGACTCATGGTCCAAATACCGTACAATAACTGAGTTTGGACCTAGTTAAAATGGCAAAACTCTGCTGTCACACACTATTAATCTAGATGGTAAAATACTCGGCTGGAAGGAATGATGCCCATTAGAAACACACTTCCAAAGACTATTTGTCTTTTTTTTCTTTAAGTGATGAAAAATCAAACCTCAGCCACTGAGTTTATCCTCCTGGGAGTGACCGATATCCAATGGCTGGAGCCTTTGCTCTTCGTGGTTTTCCTTGTCATCTACTTTCTTAACTTGACTGGGAATGGGGCCATCTTGCTGGTAACCATCTCTGATCCTAAACTCCATTCACCAATGTATTTCTTCCTGGGGAACCTCTCCTGTCTGGATATCTCCTATTCCACAGTGACTTTGCCAAAAATGCTGGAGAACTTCCTCTCTGCACACAAAGCAATTTCTTTCTTCGGATGTATAACTCAACTGCATTTCTTCCATTTCTTGGGTAGCACAGAGGCCATGTTATTGGCCGTGATGGCCTTGGACCGCTTCGTGGCTATCTGCAAACCTCTTCATTACACTGTCATCATGAGTCGTCAACGCTGTACACAGATGGCTGTCACTCTCTGGACTCTTGGCTTTTTCCACGCCCTGCTGCACGCCATTATGACATCACGTTTGAACTTCTGTGGTTCTAATCATATTCACCATTTCTATTGTGACATTAAGCCATTGCTGGATCTGGCCTGTGGGAGCACCGAGCTCAACCAGTGGCTGCTCAATGTTGTCACAGGGACAATTGCCATGGGTTCATTTTTTCTAACACTTCTCTCCTATTTCTACATTATCACCTATCTCTTCTACAAGACTCGTTCTTGCAGCGTGCTTCAGAAGGCACTGTCCACTTGTGCATCACACTTTATGGTAGTTATTCTTTTATATGCCCCAGTTATATTCACTTACACTCGTCCTACATCAGGAAGCTCCATGGACCAGGAACGGGTGGTTGCTATCATGTACACAGTGGTTACCCCTGTTCTAAATCCACTGATCTATACTTTGAGAAACAAGGAGGTAAAAGAGGCATTGAGTAGGATAATCAGGAAAAAAACTCTGACTTGAAGAAATCTCAAAAGCCCTTCTGAAACATAACAGATAATGAGAAACATGAGATGTGTAATTATGCTGCTTCTCAAATGCTTTAATATAGTATTTCTAACATAGAGAACAAGTTAAAGGAAAACTAAAAGGTAAGAAACAGTCCAGTATATTAAGCAATGAGTTTGCATGTAATATAATAGAAAAATGAACAAAAAGGACACTAGCCATGGAATCTAATGTAGAATTTCTTTGGGGATATCAGCTGATATGTTTGATTTTTTGTGAATTTTAGAAGTTTTTTTTTTATATGAAAACATATAGAGAGATACTACTATATTACTCATGTATTGGAAAGTTGGAAGTTTTTATGCCTATTTGTGTGGTCTCTAAGTGAACATATTTTATGTGAACAATAAAGCTTTTATGGTATTATGATTTGAGAATTTCACTTTTAAGTAGCAATTATTCAACTGGAAAAGACTGCTCATGTATGTGTCAAAGGGAATTTTTTAAACAATACCCATTAACTGGGGAACATAAATTCTGAAGCAGTCTTGCACAATGGATTGTAAAAGTCTCAATGCTAATTAATCATAAAATGCCTTGAAAAATATACTATAGGAAAATGAAAAACGAAACTAAGGAAAATGGTAATGTTGGATTGGCTATGTTATGTGAAGTCAGGTAATCCATCATGAGATTATTCTCCTGAAAGAATCTGATAAAATATGCCATTCACCAATGGCATTTGGGGTGTTCTAGTTGAAGAGAACTAAAAATTGTGCATAAGTCCAACAGTGACTCTTTTCTTTATAACAGGAAGGAAGTTTGTAGATAGACACGTAACTGGACTGCTAACAGTGAGGCAGAAAAATGAACTCAAGCTTAGATGATAAATAATAGAACTGAACCACTAACTCCATTACAGAGGGAATACAGACTCACAGAGTGGTATGGAGATGGCTAATTCAACGTGGTTTCCTAGGTCAAAATCAGAGCAGTTAACAAGAGTACTGCTTCAGATATGCAGTCAGAATTGAGAGGTCTCCCCCCAATAAATGGAATAATCCATCACTCAATTTATAGGCCTTATTGCCTGAATATGAGTAATATTCACTAAGAAAAAGTGACACACAACATGACACACAACATTTCTTTCATCACAAAAAGAATGCTCTCCATTTATACAGTTGAATGTACGCACAGCAAAATGATACTGCAGAGATTCCAAGATCTATGATATCTGGTCTCACTTGAGAGTGATCCTCCAAAAACTAAAACATCATCAAGGTTCTGTTAGAGTAGATGACTAGAGGCCTGGTGACAAGAAAATAAAGATTAATGTCTGGACAAATAGCCTCTTCTGCTTCTACAGTCCTATCCAATATCACTTCCCAAACACTAGATGTATAATTGGAAATACTCTCCTTGAAGAGTAGAGTCCTACATCAAGTCCTTGATCTATAGAAAATGAGATGTCATGTTGGGGGAGATAAAGTGGAAGACTTTGAATCTGTCTAGGATAATGAAAACAAAGCAATACCAATATTGGGTGGTATAACCATGACTATAGCCCAGCCTTGAATATCATCTAAAGACTGAAAGATTATTTGCAGATGTTGAAGGATCCTGGACAAATGAGGACAAACCATCCCAAGCTCAGACAAGTAATAGTCTTTGTCACAGCTGCCCTGACACACCTAACAGCACAATTCAAAAATAAATCAGGTAAACAGTAAATGCCCTGTTGATTTTGAAAATATAATCTTATTTCCACAATGATTGTCTTAAGAGATCTTGAAAGTTTTTGTAAAGTTTCTTAAGATCTACCCTCAGCAGTCCCAGAACATAAATTCTACTATTTTCTCATGGTTGAATAAGTCAATGTGCCAGAAAAGATACAAAGACATAAAATCCCACAGACCATCAACAGTGGGGACATGGTCCATTGGGCATCCAGCTTTCATAAGGTGTTACCACACTAACGTGTGACTCATTATAACAACCAATTGATGGAGCCTGTTTTTTATCTTATTTGTTTTGATTCATCCTTGTGTATATTTTCACAATATTGGATTTTTCCCCTCAGGTGTAATCACCTTAATTTCCCAAGAGCAAAATGCCCACAACAGTCCATCACAGTCTATTGCGCTCTTCTTCCCTAAACCCCCATTATTAACCTCCCAATCTCCCTCTCTCTACCTCTCCCCTCCTTTCAGGTTCATAGTCTGCTTTCAATCTCAATCTTATAATTAGTTTTTGTCTGAGACTCTGTTCAGTTTCTCTAGATTCCACTTACAAGTGAAAGTGGTATTTATCATTCTCTCCATGGCTAACTTCACTTAGAATAATCCCTTCTAGCTATTATTCAACTAATAACCCATGTTGCTGAAAATGGCATGAGTTTACCCATTTTGATCACTGAATAGTATTCCAATCTTTATATATAACATCTTATCTACTCATCGGAGGCAATTAGTTTGTTTCCATTTCCTGACTATTATAAGTACTGCTGCTATAAACATAGGATACAGGTTTCCTCAAAATTAGTGTCTTTGTTTCCTTTGTGTCTATTTTTACTTGTGTGAGGACCCTGAATGCTCTTTTCATAAGGGTTGGGCAAGTCTACATTACCAACAAATTTGCCAAAGAAACACATGATCTTTGGTTCCCATAACTAAGAAAATAATCTCAATGCTTTACCAAAGGAGAGTGAGTTTTAAAAGGGTAAAAAATAAGGGACAAAATACTACCACTCTTTAATCCTATTTACTGATCAATGGGATGTGACTAGTCCTCACATCTTAATATTCCTTGTGAAATTATTTTTTCACTTTATACATTATTATTATACACAAATAATATATACAGATTATTTTCCATAGAAGTAACAAAGATAAGAAAATGAAAATGCATGAGAACTTTAATATTTGTTGGCCATGATAACCAAACTAAGGCAAAATGCGGTATGGAAAGAAAATTGTACTGTGGATAGAAATCAAGATAAGAAATTCACAAGGGGAATGTCCTCATTTTGCAGATGTGAAAAGATATCCCATTATTTTAGCAACAAGTCTCCTCAGCACTCTTGGGATACTCTCTCTCAGGGTTTTCATAGTTAAAGAGCTATAGTTCATTAAAAGGCAGGAAGAAACAAGAAAGGAAAAAAAACTTGAAGATGAAGAGTGTATTTTGCAACTCAAATATGAGCTATCACTTGAATTATTTTTCTACTAGTTTTAACCACTGGGATTGTAAATCTGATAAGTTTTTATAGCTGTGAATCTGAACACAAAACTCAGGTAAGAAGATAACATAAGAGAAAGTCTGGGAATTATCAATATTTTCTATCTTATTTTTACTATTAAAATTAAATTCACAGCTTTAGAATAATTTCTTATCTTATGATGGACTCTTCATTACGTGTGGATTGTGAAGGCTATTTACTTCCTCCGCATTTATTGCCATGTTTCATCCTCAATTCAATAATGCTGGACATTCTTTAAAGGAAATATATAATATCTAAATAGTGAAATTCTAGCTAAATGAATCACTTACTACAAATTAGTCTGATTATTAATTGTGTTTAAATAGTAAGAAAAATGTATTTTTCCAAGATGAATTTATGGTACAATTTTGTGTAGTCAGTCACAGAACTACAATGACAAATAGTGAATATATCACTTATACTGTTCATGAATGCTGATTTTACTTTTACAAAGAGTAATATTTTACAAGCATAATTATTTTTATATTTGTATTAGGTTTTTTTATTTATATGTCTATTTACATCATTGCTTATTTTACAAGTGTTTACTACCCCCACCTATCATCACCATAGTCCCCCACATTCCTCCCCACTTCTGATCCCTCTCTAACCCCCTCCCCTGTAGAATCTCTCTTGTTTATAATTGTTTGTTTTTGTTTTGTGGTGTTGTGTGCTGCATCATAACAGCAATACACTTTTTCCCCCTAAGTCTTATTGGGTTCTCTTAAATTCCTCCTATAAGTAAAACCGTTCAACATTTTTCTGTTTCCTTCTGACTTATTTCACTGTGCATAATCCCTTTCAGCTCCATGTTGCTGTGAGTGGCCTGAGATTCTTTTTGATTGCTGAGTAGTATTCTATTATATATATACACATGTATATACATATGTATATGTGTGCATGTATATATGTGTGTGTATATATATACATATGTGTGTGTATATATATATATGTGTGTGTATATATATACACACACAAATACATACATACATATACATACATGCATATATAGCACATCTTCTTGATCCAATCATCTAGCTTTGGGCATTTGGGTTGTTTCCAGATGGGAAGGGTAATTTTCTATGTGAAAAAAGATGTACTTGATTGTCAAAGGAAGCTACTCTAAAACATTAAACATCAGCCCTTAGTGGAAGTGTAGTAGAAGTAAGATAAATTCTCAAAATTTCCTCTAGCTACACAGCCTAGAATCTCCTGGACTCTTTATAAGTTTACACTAGCTAGTCTACTCCTTTTCTCATTCATATTAAACCACTTTCTTCAACTCTCAGGAATTTACCAAGTCTTGAGTAAGTCGACTTTTCTAGGAGCATCCTAATCCCTGCAAATTTTTTCAGTTTTCTACAGTTCTTATTCTCTCCGCACCTCCATCCTGTAACTCTCCCACACACCCTTGCTTCTTCTCTCACAGTATAAAAGAGCTATGGCCATAAATGAGTGGAAAAAGTGGAAAATTGTTTCACAAAATAATATATGATTTTGTTAGTGAGTCTGAAGTAATTAATGTCAGTTTTCTAGCAAATAATGAAGTGAAAGCAATCAAAAGTTATAAGGCCTTTGCAAACAAATGTCAAATATTAAAATTTATAATAAACTAATTGATAATTGCTCGGAGTTATAACATTACCTGAAGAAAACAGTATTACTTCAATTCTGCAACGAAGATAAAATTAGTCCATAATTTTAATACAAAACAAACATCTTATTTTATGGAAATAAAGGGTAAGCAGAGAAA